CGGCCGAGCGTCCTGTCAGAACGGTGAGGGAGGGCAAAGCCTCCGGTATACGAGGCCTGTAGTGACCCAGCCCCGCTATTGACCTCTTGCCGCCAGGCAATAAAGAACGACCCCAAACCACGACCATTGGCGTCGCTTTGGTCTGTCCTGGAGGGTCTGTGGGGGGTACCCCCAGAAAGTCTGGGCCTGGTTGGATGGAGTTTGGCTGGATGGAGGGGGCCTGGCTGGATGCTGGATGAAGGGTTTGCCACACGATTGTGGCCCTAGGCTGGCAGGTTTTGTCTTGGGTCCGGGTCCAGGGTACCCCCAGTGGTCGAGGACCCCGCTAACCTGCCATGCCCTCCTTTTGCGCTCCCCGCCCTGCGTGCGAGAGGCGAAGTGAACCTGCTTCTCGTCGAGCGGCCGGCACAGGCCGCGAGGACCCACAACCCGACAAGAGTCCATTTCAGCTCTGTTTTGCTGTGAAACGCACATTTTCTGCAGAGCTGTGAGGGGAAGCAGAGAGCAAGAAAGCCCCCCTTGGGGGGGGGGGGTTTGGGGGGTGAACCCTAAACCCTAATTGAGAATAATTGGGTTGGCTGGGGCGGGACTACATGCTGACGCAAGCGCGCGATTAGTGGGTGCGCCCCTATCCCTAAAGCAAAAGGCGCACCCACCGCGCGCACACTGTCTACACACCCTAAGCCCTAAACCCGGATCTGTTGCTGAGTCCCAGACAAGGCCGCGAGTGTCCTCGAAGCGAACTTGGGTGCCATGTCGCCGAGCCATCTTGCGCATTGCACCCTACCGACAATCAGCCTTGAATTCGTGTTGTGCGATGGTGTGTGTGTGTGTGTGTTTCTGGTGTAGCTGGTCTGATGCATTTGGCACAACACCAAGGAAGCACCTGAAAGAAAGCATTGAGCGTGAAAATGCAGGATACAGTTGCAAACACCTGCAGACATGCCGTCCTTTGCTCAAGTGTGGCCGTGTGCGCCAGATCGTGCAAGCGCATGCAAAGTTCACCGACATTCACCGCGCTGGTGTGTCGTATCTTCTAAGTCCTAGGCCTTGACAAAGATGTCATCTTGACGATACTTTTTGAAGGCCTCAGGCAGCTCGAACGCCGGCCTGAAAGCGCAATTCGTCGTTGATGCCATGAGTTACGAACCCTTTTTAGCGATGCCCTCCGTAGATGAAGCCCAAGATGCTCGGCAAGAGGAAAGTTGTCCTGCCACACTGCGACCAAATTGTGAAAACGCATGCTAGAGATGAGGAGCCCTCGACGGTCAAATCCAAAGGTTGACGGCGACCTACTCCATTGCTGAGAAGGTTTGAGGCGCAATCCCAATCCTCGCAGCTTGCCGTTTTGCGCCACGCCGCCGAGACGCTCAAAAGAATCAGTAACTGGCGGTGCCCTAGCTATGGCAGCTACTTTGCACTTGCACAGTCGAAGCGGTGCCATGTGCCGTCGTTGTTTACCACCTCGACAGACTGTCGTTCTGCTGCTGACACTGTGCAGCCTCTACTCTTCGGGGAAGCAAAGCTACTAGAATTCCAGACGCCCAAGAAATCTTGCACTCATGTCACTTGTGACTAGCCACCACCAATTTAGCACCGAGCAGACTCGCTTCACGAGGTATCCTGGGAGGGCACGATGTAGAGATCCGGTGGGATCATCCGGAATCTGGCGACGAGACAAGCTGCCGATAGAAAGTTTCTCTGTGAGCCATGAGGCCTCCGATGCATGTGCAGAGGTCGGGAAGCCTTTGGGTCAGTGCGTGCGCATGCAACTCTCCGACACGCTTTCGGCCTTGGTGATGGCAAGCTCGTGCCGCACAGACTTCTCCTTCGGCCGCACGACCAAGTCGATATAGCGTTGCTGAACTTCCTCCTGCAGTCTCGCAAGCTGCAGAAGCGTCTGTGGACTCCGGCCACAGGATGCCTCTCTCCGCTGCATCTCCCAAGAGATGTAAATCCTCAAAACATGTCGTCTGCAGAAGGGCCGTGCTCACGTTTTGGGGTCATCCGAGCACCCGGCCACGGGTCTCCGAAGCTCACGTCGTAGCCACCGCTCTCGCCAGGACTGGATTGAAGCAAGCTTCCCTCCGCTTCGGTTGCAGGGAAGCGCCAAGGCCCAAGGCCCGAGCCTGGCAAGCTGCAACAGCAGCTCATCATCTTCCGTCGTCCAGGGCTTGCCCTCATTCTCCTCCAATGCTGCTTAGATCAGTCGCCGCATGACCGCCGGGCATTTCCAGGGGCTCACCAATGGCTTGCCAGCGAAGCGCTGGTGAAACTCATCGGCGGACACCCGTGGCCAGAGGCCTGGCGATAAAGCGATAAAGCGAGTTCTGGACTCTGAGGGCTTGGGAACTTGGGGGCAAGCCATGGTTGTAGAGCGTGATGTACTTGTCCAGACGCCGCTGCTGCTCGGCGGTGATGTCCTTTGCCAGCCCGTGGGAGCCCGTGGGAGCCCCTGGGAGACATCGGCGCTGCTCAGCTCTGGACCGGGATCCTACGTATGTCGCGAGCCGACATCGAAATAAAGTCCTTCCACTGCCTTTGGGAGGCAAGGAGGGAGGGAGAGAGAGAGGGAGAGAGGGAGAGAACAAAGGACCGACGGTCGTGAGTCTCTCAGGCTGTGACTCAAATAGATTCGCCACGTCTTCCGCGCCATCCCCGAAGTTCATCTGTTCCAGGAAGTCTAGGATCGTCCATCCTTCGCAACACACCCAGGCTTCAACAAACTGATTGGGGAGGTGCCGTCCTTCTGGGGGAGGCAGCGCGTACTCCCTCCGGACCTGGAGAAACACGGTCCGCGAGCCAGACAAGTCTACATTCTGAAGCCCAAAGCAGCCTCCCGAAGCTCAGCTTCAGAAAGGCTGTCCTTCTTCTCCCTCAGCCTTGAGAGTTACCACTCAAGCCCCTTGCAGTCACGCTGCATGCACCAAGGCTTCTGCGCTTTTCGAAAAGCCTCCCAAAACTTCACACCATTCAGAACAGCACCTCTTCGCCTTATCTCTTGCCCAAACATGCGCCTTGAAGTCGAAGTATTGTGGCACGTATGCAATGTGCTTCGGGATCTCATCGCCTTCGCCGAGCCTTCCACCTCGCTGTACGAGTAACACGGCTGCGAGAAGCGCGTAAGTGCCGATATGCCGATATGCTGCTTGCGCTGCTGAAATGACGGCGGCCCAGGGTCACGGGCGCTGCCGGCGATGAACCTTTGGAAGATTAGTGGGAAGACCGATGCCAAAAACCCATCCTTCTCTGAAACGCAGCAATTTGAGCAGCAGCGGGTGCACCAGGTGTTCAGCAAGCTGGCAACTAAACAGAATCAACAAATTCTGAAAGTGTGGAAACCTGTCTAACCGACAAGCTGACCAGGCGCATCAGACAAAAACGAGGCATGCACGGTACACAGGAAGGCAGCAGGTCCAAAGGCGAAAGGACCTCAGAGTCAGACTCCTACATGGAGTAGCTATGAATGCGCTTCAGGGCTACAGGGTCCAGCGCCGTCACCAGCCACAGGGATAATATACTGCTACGAGTAAATTCCTCTTGGACGCATGAACTATCTCAACACATGTTCAGTACTCAGGGCTCGTGCCTGGTGCTCCGGACGCGCTGCAGCATCTCCCTTTAGCAGTGCTCCGTGCGGAACCAGCACATGCCGATGCAATCACGGTTGACATAAGATATATGAGGATACGTCGGATACGTTTCAGATTCCGGCTTGGCATGTAAGTGCTTCGGTCTTGGTTACACGCATCAGGCTCACGGCTCCTTGGTTGAAGCATGGGATGGATGGAACATGACTCGACTTGTGCAGGCGCGTGCTCTGGGCACTTCAGCTCTCGAGACTTCTGTTGGACTGTCTGGCAGGCAAATACCAACACTGATTTCGACGGTCTTTTTGAAAGCCTCCCCTCGCTGTACCCTGGCTCCTGCATTTTGCAGGAACCGTTTCACAGGTCAACGTGAAACGGGAAACCTCCGAAACATTAACCGGGCAGAGCACACTCAATCGAAATGCTGCTGCAAGACGCGCCAGTACCCCTCATCAACTCTGCGAAGGCCGCCGAGCGCTTGTCATGGGGCTAAGCAGAGTTGCCTTGCACACCCGGAAGATAGGAAAACAGCTCTCTCATTTCACTCCCTCTTTCAGTCAGGAGAGTAAAAGGACATCTGGACCTGCGCAGAAGCTGCCGCAAGGAGACTTGCATTCCGCTGGCCTCTCAACGGCTTGGACTGTTTGGATTCTCAACAGCTTCAATCTTGATACGGCACGGCCCTGCAATCGGTCAAGCCTCAAGCCACAGTGCATGCTATCCTGTCGGATCACGAAGTGAATAACACTGTGTGCGTCTGGAACTCCTTTTTCGAGGGAGTACGATGTTGTCGCATGCATTCGGAGTCCCTCACAGGGTGGTGCTTCGGCTCTACGGTGCGTGGTCTGTTCCGTTCAAACACAACTTCGCATGTCGTCCACCGACTGAGGTGTGGTTATTTTTGAATCTTTGCAAACTATGTGTGTAGAAGCAGGCTCCGGCCTTCAGGCCGAAAGCGGAGCTGCGGAATAGGCGGTGGCAAGGGCGGCGGCGGCCGCGAGTTTGACACCAACTGCGGAGTTGACCGCGATGATGTTATCGATGTGTACCCACCTGTCGCAGGCGGCGCCGCAGGCCCCGGTGCGTCGGGGCTCGGAGCCTGGCAGGCTAGACTCTGCTGTGCAACAGGAGCGAGAGCTCCAGGGCCTCCGAGGGCTTCGGACTGGAAGTTACCTGCGATGATGTTGGTGAGCCATCGGATTCGCCAAGGGCTGCCTGAAACCAGGTCCCAACAGCATGATGCATTCGCAAAGGGTTCTTGTGATTTGCAGTATCACGTTGACTAGCTAGACAGGGGATCTGTCAAATCTACCAATGCGGCCGTCTCGCACCCGCTAGACTCGGGGTATCTCGGGGTGCTTGCGAGATAGAACTATGTCAGCCGGAGTTGGGCCAATGATTGGCGTGAGATGCCCAGTTCCCCACACTGCATGATCAATGGACCGTATCCTCAGTTGGCATGCATGAGACCGACTGCAATGGTGGACTGATGTACAGGTTTCCAATCATAGGGGGAGCTCTGCACAAAGTTCCCGAAATCAGTGAGAAATCAAGGGCAAAGGTTGAGGCGGCAAAACAGCAGAGGCGACGCTGTTGCGCTGTCGCTATAGGTCGAACCGAATGACGTCCGAGCCGCCCCCGACCCGCCAAACAACTGAATGAAAGCTGGGGCAAGCTCCAAGTGACCGTTCGTGACATCTACATGCTCAGTATGTGGAGAAACTTCCCAGCCAGGGGTGTTAGCCGTGCCGTGATCTGAAGCGGCGTCTTCTTGGGAGGCCCGGCGGGCGCCTCCTCTCCGCCTGCGGTCCGAGGCCTGGGTCTCCGCTTCTCGCAGGGAACAGTTGGCCTGTCCCCAAAAATCTTTGCAAAAATCTCAGCGCATTCAGAAGTGAGAACACCCAAAACATACCCGCCTCTTGGGCAAAGGCATCGAAGGAGATCGAGTCATCGCACTCTTCCCTGCAGGACTTCCTGCGAAAAGACGCGCTGTTTGGACGGCAAGTTCTCACACTCCCGTTCGATGTCACGAGCGGAACTGTTCGCCAAGTTCAAGAGATTGACTCTGCCTGACTCTTCCGCTGATGCACCTTCTTTTGCGGAACCAGGCGGCTTTGCACCTGATGCTGCTCATAACACGCCCTGCATTCAGCACCCGACAGACAAGAGTTGAAAGCCTGCACAGCTGGCTATGAGTCCTGGTGTCGAGTGCACGCCAAGCGACCGCTGACTGCTCGGACCTTTCTTGCTGCGGGTACAGTCGAGTCCTCCAAGCACAAAGATTTTGACTTCTGAGGGACGAATAGGAATAGGGATGAATAGGGTTTAGGGTTTAGGGAACGCACGAAAGTAGTGGGAAGAGCTAAGAAAAGGTCAGCGGGTAAGTGTGCTTTGCAAGGGGGGCATTTTCATTGCGACCAGCACGGTCGAACCGAAGACAGGTCATTCGCAGGAGCTCGCGAGCTCGCGCGAGTCCTCGGACTTCCAGCTGCCAGGAAACGCAGGAAGCGGAGGTGGAGCCTGCGGTCGCTACGCGGTCGCTACGCCGCTACGCCTTTCAGCCTCCTTCTCCGTCAGACTCGGGGCCTCCGCCAACCGGGCCGAAAGCGGTCTGGAGGCTGCGCAGTGCCTCAAAAGCACCCCAATGCTATGACATGCTATACCCGTCTGAAATTGCTTCACAATGCTCCGACGAGATGACGGCTGCCAAGGAACAGTCTCGAAGATTCGCTTCTCTCTGTTGCGGGCTCCGAGGACCGCTGCCGCTGAACCCGACACCTTCGATACTTTCCGGTCCCCTTCATCATCCTTCATCTGCAAGCCTTGCCTCAGGTCGTTGACAGATGCCGAGCGCGACAGTGCTGCCTCACGAAAAACAGGAAGGTCCGGGATCGCACATTTTGGCATCCTGTCCGAGCCTCTGCAGATCGTGGTGGAGGCTCGAATCTCTCACTGTCCACCTTCAGCGCTCATGCTCTGGATCTGCCATAGGGGGGGGATCTGCTTGTGGGCCTTTTGTGCATCACCGTCCTCGGCGCCAGCGGGACCTGTCATAACAAAAAGCTTTCACTCAACGAAGGAGCCGAGGCCACAGGCTCGCCTAGCGACTTCTTCCGGACGATGGAGCCCTTGAAGAAGGTTAGCCTGCAGGCCGGGCACAAGTAACGAAAACAGGAGCTGGTCAAACGGTCAAACCACGGGATGCCGGAAAACGCAACGGAGGTTGGATTCAAATTGATTAAGGAACCACTGTTCGGTTTCTGGGGGGGTCTGGGACAAAGCTCTTGGTTGCAAGTACCGGGTCATGGCCTCGAGCACAGGTAGGCCGTTAGCGTTCGCAGCTCGAACGATTTCGGCTTTCAGGGTTTGGGGTCTCCAGCATTCCTCCCTTTCACTTTCCCACAAGCCGGCCTGTCCACATCCTTCGGAAGCCGCTTGGGCTGGAAGGCAAAGACAGTCCGCCCACGGGTATTTTGGAGCATCAGTCATGGAGCACCAATACGCCACCATGCGGCATGGCTCAACACTGCTGCCCAAGAGCACGCAGAAGAGAGTCTACCACGGGCCACTACCAATGCGCACTGGGCCAGCATTCCCCACACTCTAGCTTTAGCACATGCTCAATCCGGCAGATGCACAGCATACTCACCTGACTCAGCAACAACAATCGAAAGACCTAGAAAGGAGGTGTGCAGTTCACGACACATTGTAGCTGACATGTTGTTGTTCATGCGCACATTGCTTGAGAGACAGCTTCACAGACCGATTGTGACAACGAGGCTGTCCCAAAGTTGACATGTCTGAACATTCAACGGAGCAAAAGGCTTTTCTGCAGACCATCGACGCACGCGAGATGGATGTACTCAGCCATGATCCTTGGTAGCGCTGCAAGATTAAGACTTCCGGCCAACTTCGTTTACAATGCACTGGCCATGTGCTGACACTCCTGTAGCATGTAAGCATTCGACCTGAAAGGAGCCTCGCAACTTTAACTACCAAACTTTACCACAGAGCAAAGCTTCATGGAATCCTCTGCAACTTCTAGGCCTGGCCTCTGTGCCAGGTCGCGGTAAGATGCCGTGACCTGTGGAGTTTGAGAAGGGAAACGGCCCAAGGCCCGCGCATGCAGATCTCACACTCCCTGGTGAGGCCACAGAGGCAGTTTCTCCTTGCGCGGCTATGTCAGGCCCAAGGTCCGGCAGAGCAGCTGCAAGGCCTGGCCAGCACCTGCAGAAGGAAGGAAAGGAAGGAAAGGAAGAGAGAGCTTTGCAGCAGTTGGTCGAGTATTGGCCACTTCGGCCCTGTTTGCGTGCAGAGCTGCCTGGGCCTTCCAAATCTGCAGTGGAGGCCACAGTGGGAGCACTCTCGTCGGAAGCACCTTACAGCGGCCGGCCATGGCTTGCGTCGGTGCAGACAAGAACAGCTCCTGGGTGCTGACTCGAGGGGCAATCCGACGTCACGGATGAGTCCTCTCTTGCAGTCATCTAGAAGCCGCCAGGCACTTGACACATGAACGCCTCGTCTGAGCTTTGCAAAGCCGTTGCCCGCGTGGGTGCACCTGACATGCCGACAACTCACTGCCTCTGCGTCTCTGAGACTCCAAAACAGCCGGTTGAGGCTTGGGCTTCGTCGCGTCTTGGCCGCCTCCCTGTCGAGGGCACCAGGGCAAGTTCAAGTAGTTCAAGTGGTTCAATTTCGTACGAATAGCCTAGCTTAGTCACTTAGTCTGGGCCTCAGCATTTGCATCGCCTCACCGAGCTCTTGCGAGGGCTCCTCCTGCCAAGAAAAAGACTCCAAAAGGGGCTGCCGGCCACGTTCAACACTCCTGCGCTGCCGCCATGTGAGCAGCGGCGGTGCAAAGGCTTCGGAACACCTCCGGCCTCTCCTGCGGGTAGCGGCCAATCCGTACACGACAAAGCAGCACACATCAGCAACGGCCTCCACTTCAACACAGGCTGCCAGGCGTGCAAGAAGCACAGCTGTCGCCTGACGCTGCACACCGACGCTTGAGGCAAGAAGCAAGCTGTTAAATTCCACACGCGCTGCGTTGCCTTGCAGAGCGGCACGTGCCTGACGCAGCTCCATCACAGGCCCATGGCCCAGCCCAAAACGAAACAGAGCACTTTTCCCAGGAGGCCAGGACCTCGACAGCTCGGCAGTCGCCCCTCGCAACTCCCGCTGCTCGAGGAAACCGCTCAGGAGCTGTGCCAATCCTCCGATAGCGGCACATCCGATGGAAAACAAAAAGGCTGGTCAGAGATCTATGCAGAAACCAAGATCGAACTTTCAAGCGGAAGACCATCTACCTGACAAAGCTGAAGAATGCAGCCGCTTTAGAACCTTGAATGGAGAGAGGCCCCTTTTTTTGGCAGCCGGGCATCGACTCCACTCCGGCGAGGCCAGGTCACCAAACACGGAGTGCAGACCTTGACGGCTGCCATCAAAAGGCTCTCACTCAGATGCTCGTTCGGCTCATTATTATGGTAGGCGACACTTCGGCACCACCAGACAGATCAAAGCAGTGAAAGTCAACCAGGATCCCTCACACCTCCGTTCACGGCTAAGCTTGATGAGTGGAACTGTGACCGTGAGGTGTTTCTCGCGTTCCAGATGCCTCGCATTGCGTGGGTTACGGATTGTCACCCGTTCCCCGCCCCCCCCGACGTTCGGACTGAGATCCGACTGACGTAGCAGCAACGTGAGCTACCGATCAGCGACCCGTGGGCTGCTGAAACTTCACTTCAGAGGCCCTCTCTTGGGGGAGTGCAGGAAGTCTGTCACTAGTCTGTCATGTCATGCACGTTGCATTGCAGCGAAGCATCGATAAGGTAAAGTTCGAGTGGCCCTTCCATGCAAAGATGTATGTCCTGGACTTGGGCTCAGGCACTGCGTAGATGCCACGAGAGCAGCAAGCGCCTGGACCAGAAAAAGGCACTGACTGCTGTCCTCTCTTTACTTGTTGTTCCCTCAATGAGCGCAGTGCCCGCAGCAAGTCAGGTCGAGGTCGTCGGGCGCAGCATTCCAAGCCAGCCACCGCGACAGCCCCCGGTGAAGGTGCCAGTGGCCCAAGCGCAACGCAGAAACGCACTGATGCTTCGGCCGACACCCCAGAAGATAATGAGTCGCATTCGTCGCGCAAGCCATTCTCCACAGCTTGCAAGCAGGTCTTCAGAAACTCTGGACGCCTGGATCCTGTATCAGCCATCAATTTGATCCAAGTCCCCGAAGCTTCCAGTGCCGCAGAGCGTGCCTCTACGCTGTGCGCGCTGGTCAGCATTTGCTGCAGCACGGTTACCATTTTTCGTCCGGCTGTCTTCAGGCTTTCAGCTGTGTGTCGTGTGGAGTGCTGTCTCATGGCAAGTACACTGATCAAAGTGCAAAGCCTCTTTGCAATGCTGTCTGCCAGCTGGGGTTCCAGAGCATCTTGCTGAAGCTCCCCAAGCTCTCCCAACTTTTCACAGGCCCACATCAGCACCGCCACACCGCTCTGGGGTGGCCGAAATGCAGGCAGCAGCCTCCCACATGCTGATCCTTAGATACGCACTGCTTAGATTGGGCATGCGATGCCATGCAAAAGGCAAGAGCAAGGCAGCAAGAACTACAGCACAACAAGCGGCATGAAGACGCAAATGGCGCAAAAGGCCCACTAACCTCCTCTGAGCCGTCTCGAATCGGCTCAGAGTTCTTGGGGCCGGGTTGCTGGGGCAAGCGGCCTCAAGCGCGGCCAGTGCATGCGGAAAGGCAGGGTCACGAAGCTGCAAATATTGCAGCTGCTGAAGAAGAGGAGGAAGCAGTCTCTCTGTGAGCCTTGCTGAGCCGCAGCGTGTCTCAGCAGGGATTAAAGCACACAGATCAGCAACCAACGCAAAGGCCACCACGTGCAGGGCTGGTTGTGCCAAAGCTCGCAACACAAGTCTAGAAATACGATGTAGCTGCTTCTTCACACCCGAAGTGCACCCTGGTAATACTGCCCGCAGACTTGCGAGCGCCGCAAGTTTGGCGGGCAAGTCGGAGCCCATCAAGGTCCGACATGCGCTGCGGTAAATGATTGGCAGGACCATCTTGTCCGGCATCCGCTTGGAGATCCGCGTGAGCAGCGCGTACTCGGCCGTGCTCTGTGCCGAGTTGCTGACAAGATGCCCTTCGTTTGAGTCACAGCTTGCCTGGGCCTGGGCTCGCACCTCGTCCGGCGCCACAAGTTCCACCAAAGTCCCCAAGACCTTCTCTGCCGACAGCTGACCCTCAGCCTGCACGCAAAGCAGCCGGGAGTGCGAGTCAGCGATGCTGTGGAGCAAACGCAGTGCTCTGAGACGCCGCTGCCCTCGCTGCGTGACCGAGGCCGTGAGGGCAAGTTGGACGACTCTGCAGAGCTCCGAAGGTGGTTGGCCCGGCATGGCATAGAAGGATGCATCTGCGATAAGGAGCTCGTCGGCCGCTGCCGCTCGAGATAATGCTTCCAAGGCAGCATCACAGAACTCGCTTCCCAGAACAGGGTCACTGACAAGCAGTCCGACAACCTGGTGATGAAAGAGGCGCGCGGCTTCCTCGCCCCTGACGATTGCAGCAAGGCTCCCAAGGCATTCGATGGCACGCTCCGCATGAACCGCAGGAACCGGCTGAGACTGTGCGTCACCTTCCTTCATTACAGAGATGCAGATCACGCAGGCCCCACAGAGCTCCAATAGATGGGGCTCGAGAAGATTTTGCCACGGAGGTGAGACCAAGAGTCCGCCGAGGAGGCACATGACGCCATAAAGTTGCAGACAGGCCGCAGCCAGTGGCCGCTCACCTTTGGCGGCTACCTTTCTGATCCACAGCAGCAGTTCTAACCACATGACACCCTCTGCTGCAAGATTGCAAGCTACACCGGCAACGCAGTCTGCTACGATCTTTACCGCAGAATCGCTCGACGGATATTCCATTGCGTGCAGAAGACGAGCTTGCAGAAACATCCGGTCTGACACGGCCAACGTAGGCCAGCATTCCTGCATCCGTCTCCTCAGCAAGACACTGGCCAGCTGATTCGGAGGGCTGGTCTCCAACACGGAGAGCAGGTCCAGAGGATGGGATGACAGGCACCTTGACTCAAGATGCTGCCGTTCCCGTGGAGAGAGGGGCTGCAGCAGCTTGGCCAAGTCATCTTGCAAGGAAGCCATCAGGCCGTCCTTAAATCCGGTGCCATCACAGATGTGTTGGCCAGGCCTTTATCCTGGCTAGGAGGCTGGGTTGGCGAGGCTAGGGTAGGTGAAGAGGCTGGCCTCAGCTAGGACAGGCTTGCTGGGCTAGCTAGACTCGGCTTGGCTAGGCTGGGCCAGGCAACGCTGGGCTAGCGGCTAGCGCAAGGCGATGGCTAGGCTGGGCTAGGCTAGGCTAGGCATGGCCTAGGCCCACTAAGTGACTAAAGCAAATTGCGCATGGAGCTGAATGCGGCGGGAAAGAAAAGCTTCGGACGCGCATACCCTGAGTCTGAAGGCTGCGCAAAATGCTGCATGGAGTGTCATGACTTTGGGGCGGCACGATGCTGCAAGGCCGTCTCGAGGCCTGGTTTCTGGCAGTCCGTAAGAAGTGACGGCGCTCGCCCGCCTGGGGTGCTGACCGTGGTAGACTCGTCGACGAGAGCCTCTTCGGTCCGGAGGCCACGAGGCGACGCGAGGCCTGGACAGCGGCTCTGCTTTGCTTTCTTCAAGGAGTGGGACTTGAGGTGCTCGCTCATGGAGCTGCCCTCGATCGCTTCAGCGCCTGTCAGAACGCCAGAAGCTCCAGCAGAGGGCACCGAAGGGGCTGTGATTGATCTGTGCGACTGCACGAAGCATGTCGTTCTCCAGGGACAGCTGCACTTCCTAAGCTCAAGAGCAGTAGCCTTGCACCCTCTTCGCCGCGTGATCCGTTTCAAACTATAAGCATTGGACCAGGCAGGCCAATGAAGGCGCCGGCAGATCGCCAGCCGCTCCGTGGGAGGCTGCAAGGCACAGAAGCTCTACCTCAGAATCCCTCATCATCGCACTACTAGCAGTAACTAGCACTGGACTCCACTGGATTGAAAAGTTCAAGCTAAGGGAGGCACCCAACCCTCAGCCAACCCACCTCGGCAGCGTGTCAAGCTCTTCGCTGAGAGATCGAACAAGACGTGAAGGATCCAGCGCAAAAAGTCTTGTTCTTCCTACCGATACAGAGAAATACAGAGAACACGTCAACATCCACCGAGACTTCGGAGTCCAGATTTGCTCTTCCCATCCCGTCAACTCCCGCTCCTGGACTTCCGGTGGTGGTGGCGGCAGATGAAAGCATTTTGAAGTCCCCGTTGCAGCCCTGCCTGGCCTAGGTACGCCCTATCCCTCCCTGAGAGTTTGGGAGTTAGCCTGGTTGGGCTTCGCTGGGTTGGCGCCGAAAGAAGCTCTCACCGCGGGAACTGTGCAGCCACAGCTGCTGAGTGGGTCGAGGCGGGCTGCGATCAAATGAGCGGATCTGAAGAGTGCAGACTGAGCAAACTACCGTCCATGTCGTCGAGGGCAAGCGCCATGGCATGGCAGTTACGGTCCACCTGACACAGCTCCCCCGTCCATGCATGCGATACCGGAACGGATGGACTCGCGAACGCATGCCTCTTCGAGCAAAGCCCCAAGTTCGGTGGCAATGGACATAGCAACATCGCTGCCCTGGCAGAAAAACAGCACTCACGCCAGACTGACGATCGCTCACAAGGGCCCTGCCGGGCTCCTCTTCCCTCATTACTCTACCTGTCCTGGTCACCGCCCTCTTTGCGCGAGCTCAAGCTCTTGCAGGCCTGCGACTGAAACAGGGCTCGGGTCTGCGCTGGCGCATGGCATTTCCACCCTGCCTGGAGTAGATGGCCGACATCTGACCCGGCTCCTCACATGTGAACGCCCTGGGACGAAAGCTTGCGAACGAAATCTCCCTTTCTCAGGAAGCTGAGGCGCTTGGCCTTGTCGGATGGGCAGATCGGATTCGTTGCGTTGCGCCAGGACGCTGTGGGCCAGCATGCCTTGGGCGTTCGCTCCGAACAAGCGAAGTTCCCCGAAATAAAGAGGCGGACATGGAAATCGCGACTTGAGGCCGACCGGCCTACTTCAGTGGGAGTTCGAACAGGCGACACCTGCACCAAACGACCAATCGCTGCCATCACCGCCAATGGGGTCCACGCCTGGCGTGAGTGGTGGAATTCCAGCTCCGCCTGCTCAGAGCGCATCTTGGCACAAGCAGTCTAGAAACAGGCACGCAAGCACCTCCATGCACATGGTCCGGACAGAAGTTCTGTCTGCCTCTGCGAGATGTCAAGTCAATGTGTACATGTATGCGGGTACACAGGAGCGAGGTTCGGCAGGCAGGGAAGCCAGGTGAGCATGAGCACACGCATCTATCGATGCTACTGCTGGTGTGCAAAACCCGGCTGACGTCTCCCGGGTAGGTGGGTGGACAGGCGCACTGGGCACAGGCGACAACAAATGACGCTGGGACTCCCAGCCTCTTTTGAGAGCTGGGCACGAATCTCTGAAATGCCTTGATGAACTTCAGCATGCAATGCTGACCTTCGCTTTACTCTGATCATGTGCCAGAACCCGTGCCGGTTACATATTGAGATCAGCCGGATTTATACGCATAAGAATGATGCAGCTCGTCAGCGCAGTGCTCAGACCTTTGTGCAAGCTCTTGCGGTTTACTGGCGTGAGAAGGTCCTGAATGCCAAGCAAGCCGCAATCGTTCGTTGATCTCAGATGCCATCCGCCGCAAGCCACAGTCGCTGTCAGCGGAACTTCCGCGGCTCCGTCATACTGGGGGGGTTGCTTTGAGGATGGACATGGGGAATCTGAATTGACCAATTCAGCAAATCGCAACTGGTGCAGCTGCGAAAATCCTGTCTTTCTGTAACATCTGAATGATCTCAATGCTCTGAGACATGGTTCCAAGCGCAACAGGATGGAAAGCAATGAAACCACAAAAACATGGCAGCCTGAGCCAAACAGGATTGGTGGTGACCAAACTGTCAAACACTGCCAAGCACACGAAATCGTGATATCTCCAATACTACCATTACCCCAACCCCCACCACCAACACCATCACCACACCACCAGTTCGTCGTTGTGGCTCTTGTATGCTCTTGTCGTGCTGCCACCGTAGCTCTTGATTTCATTTCCGCCACCAGGACCATCGTTGCCGTTGTAGCATCACCATTGCATCTATTTATCACTCACTAGTATCGTCAATCCCGTGGTTGGTGTTGCCATCTTTATTGGTACCACTACTGCTGTGCAGGATCGTGCCCTTTTGGCGGCATGCCGTTGGTGCGCTTGTTGATCCTCTTGCTCTTGCGGTCATAAAATCTGCCGGGCGGGCCAACACAACACACTCACCAGTGCTGTGAGTGAACGTAGTTTCTCTGCGCTGCTATTGGAATTTTTTTAAGTCCTGTCGAATCTTGCCATCAGTAAGCCCCAGTCCCCAATCCCAAAACCAAACCCCAAGCCCTACAGGCTGAAGGCCCTTTCTTTGTTGCCCCTCCTCCCGCCCGCTCCTCAATGCTCTCTTTCCTATATTGTTGTTTAGGGTTGATTGCTTCTGGCACCTATCACCCTTCCCCTCCCCTGCCTGTGTTGGTTGTGGCCATTGCGTGCTATCCCCGTGCTGCCTACCCCCCTTTTGGATTGACGTTATGGTCTGGCTATGTCATGTCACCACGATGCTATGCTATATTGCTTTCACTATTGATGGACCTCGTGAGATTGGATGATTGAGTCTTAATCCGCGGGCTCCACTCCCCCAAGCCCTACTTAATAACTTTGGCATCAGTTCCTGTAGTTTCAGCCTCCCTATCACACACCCTTGAACCCCACAGTCGTTCACCTCGCTGCAGCCGCTAGTTGACCATTGAACTGACTGCGAACTTATAAGAGAGCGGAGTAAGTTATAAGTGTCATAACCATGGCTATACTTAAAGAACTAATAATAACATGAGTTGTCTCACTTATAACATGACTTATCGAGGTTATAAATTGACTTACGGGACATATAACTTCAGTAAGTTCGAAGGGGCCTACTTGTAAGTCGGCCTCAAAATCTTCACTAAGGATCTCAGGGTTCTGGCGATGGGGCGCAAGATGCGCAAAGCCTCTGTCCAGCAGCACACGCCCTTCGCAAAGGCATGATTCCTACAATACTTCTAGTACTTTCTTTATGAGTTCCCTGCATCATTCGAAGGACCCCAAGATGGAGGAGCGAATTGCTATCTTCGGGAATGCCGCCTGTTGGCTGTAAAGCGCCACCATCATCTCTGGATAATGCTAAACAAGAGCAGCAGTCGATCATCATCGACCCAACTACAATCGTTGTGTTCACCACTGACAGCATCCTGTGCAAGATGCGGCTCTCGCTTACTGAAGGCCTGAAAAAACGATTTCTGTCTCAGTTTCTGACTGTATTTACTTTTGCTGTTCCTATCTTTACAATCGGGCCCGTTAAACAGAACCTTTTTCAAACGAGCCAATTGAAGTGGCGGCTGCTGCTGCTGCTGTTGCTGCTGCCATTGCTGCTGCTAGCACTAAGTGCCCTGAGTGATAGGTTGGTGCTGGTGTTGTTGCTATTGCTGGTGCTGGTGCCAAACCCTAAACCGTACCACCAACCACCACCGCCGCCACCACTGCTCCTTTTCCTTGAAACTGGTACTTCCACCTCGACTCGAGTATTAAAGCAAGACTGAAGGCAGGTACAATACAACTTGCTGAAAGACAACAGGTCATTGTCGCTTTTCTGCGCAAAGCTGTCAACAGTCACGAAAGCTGTCAACAGCCACGATTCTACGCAAACAAGAGCTCAATCTGCGGAGCTCTGTACACTTAAGCATCGCTTCGTGATCCAAGACACACTCTGAAGGAGACCTCAAGACTGACATACCAGGTATCAGGACGGTGACTCTTCGTAGTGGCTTCAAGTCGCTATCGTGCTGTGGAGTCGGACCAGAGAGACAGGCCACTCGAAAGGAGACGCAGAATCATGGTCGACTGAGGACCTCCGACCTGAGAGGCTGTGAGTAGCGCAGTCCACTGAGGATCCTCCGCCCTATAGATAGCACTCGAGAAAAAAGGCGAGGCCCTCTCTGGGCAGGGAGAGATCTTCAGCTCAGGAAGCCGGCACCTCACAGAGAGAATTGGCAAAAGCAGACGGCCGCTGCTCGGCCGGGCCTTCGGTCCTTGCGTGGAGACGTGAACCTCCTCAGCGAGGGAAAGCTCTCCCTCTCTCTCCGAAGGCGCTGAAAAAAGCGGATCTTTGCGGCCACAGGCTCCACCTTCTGGAGGACCACTGGTTTGGGGCTGTCTGGCTCCAAGACCCAGCCTTTGGCGCTCTCATTGGAATCACCCTTTGCACCTTGTGAAAAGCACACCTGGTCGGACGATCTCACCCACAGCGTTCATCGGCAACTGCGTACCTGGACTTTGGCACGTCTTGGCACCGACTCAATTGAAAACAAGCATGCATTCTGCTGCACATGAGGCTGAGATATGCAAAGTAGAGGTGAAGAAGACAAGCCAAACAAGGGGTGCTTTCGACTGTGCCGACATTTTCGTGACGAGCAGCAACGTACCTTGGAATAGTTGTGGCTTTGAGGTTAGACTGCTCAGATCTCTCTCCTCGATCACTACGAAATTGTGGCAAAGCGGCGGCTCTCCGATTTCTACCTGCTGCAGGGCTCTGAAGTCTGAGCAGGCACCATAGTCTGCCTTCCGCTCAAGGGCCCTCCTGGATGTTCCGAACACCAAATCTTTCGAAGGAGGCCTGCGCAAGGATTCTGCTTTTGAAAGGGGCCATGGGATGTCGGCACATACGAGGCCTTGTACAGGTCTCGAGTAAGCGCAACACCCTGGTGGAGGCCCTGCACCGCACCTGCAGAAGGGTCGCTCTGCAGGTTGCTGCCGCTCTTCGAGAAAACTGTGCTTTCAGCGGGGTGTCACAGGCCTGTGTGCTTCTCAGCAGCAAAAGCATCGAACTGGCCGTAGACCTTGTTCGGCTTTGATGTCAGAACGGCAAGCACTGCTGTCGTGTAGCTTCCAGGCCTTGATCATTTCGGTGGCAAAGTTCGCCATCGAACTTTTTCGCCTGTCCTGTTCAAGATGCTTCTGGATTCTGCCTGCGGCAATGTGCAATCTACAAGGGCAATCAACGCTATCCTCACGCTCTTTGGAGAACCGCTTCTTGTTGTTCTCAAAGTCGGCGAGTGACAAGAGCAGCCTGAAGCTGTGAAGTGACCAACTCGTGCTCCAGAGGTCCGATCTCAGGCGCGTACTCGTGCTTTCTCGCACGAACATTCTCCTTGCATTGCAGGGCTTCTGGCAAAGCAATGAACAATCGCCGCCAATGCGGGCCTGCAAAGCTGCTAGTTCTTTCTCCAAAACCGCTGACGGCGCCTTCGTGCGAGCAGATTGCAAACACAGAGCCGCCACGCCTCCGCTGCGGTGCACCACGGTGCACCTCTGGAGCCTCTGCTTCTGCCGGCTCCTGCCACCAGCATCAAGCAGAAAGGCAATAAACACCTTTATCACTGCCTTAGAAGTTCGAGCGACGGATCACTGGCTGTCCTAGAGCAACACCTTTTAAGTCTTGCCACTGTTGAGTAATATGTAAGTGGATCTGCTGCAAAGGGAGATCCCATCGTAACTTCTTTACCATCAGGATCCAGATGCTTTCTTCAATGCCCGGCTTTGTGTGCCTGGGCTGTCTCGTCCTTGTCGCTAGGAGGAGCTTCGGCGTTGTTCGCCTGCGTCGGAGCTGGTTGTAACCGCACTCAGTGATTCAATCGCAGGAATGTTATGGGGTGGCTCTTTCTGGACTCTGCCAGCGCAAGCCCTGCGACCAAACTTCTGCTTCCACGCCCTGCATCTGTAGCACGCAACAACAGGTGCACCTTGTCCTCTTTCGCTGTGTCGCTGGAAAACAGCCGCCTGCTTCAAGAAACTTGAATCGGATGACTGGCTGCAACCATCGCTGCTCGTGCCTCGGCAGGAGACAGGACCTGAAAAGAGCAGAAAAAATGCAAGAAATGCTTGTCAAACCTGCGTCATGCCAAGAGGTGCACTGTCGCTCCAGCGTCACCATTGCCTGTCATCAGATCCACCATTATTTTCTGCTGGACGTCGTGCTCTGGCAGGCCCGCCGTGTGGGGCAGCCCCCGTCTACCGCAGAACGGCCGGTATCCTTCGCGACATGAGCACTAAGACGCGAGCCCACAACGTGGGTTGCCGGCCTGTAACATCAGCAACCACAGTGCGAAGAACTCGCTGCTGTAATGCCTGTCGAGGAGAGCTGACTGTCTGGTCCGACCCACCAGGACAAGCCAGAAATGTCCAATGCCTTCATCAGACCCTCTCACCCCGCAAGGCTCTTCCAAGTGTGTCTGAGCAGAAATCGGCGCGACAAGGCGAAGGCATGCAGGCAGCACTTTTTACTAAGTTACTACTGGAACTGGAAAACCATGACAACAGTATGAAATAGCGAGGCCGATCCTGGCGACTTGACTCATCACTGTCATGCGCATACTGTGAAGCTGTGAACCTATTCCCCAGCAAGCCTTGAAATGGGCGCTTGAAGTTGACCAGCCCAGTACAGTATTTTTGCGTACAACCGACGTATCCGATCTTTGCATGCAACAAAGGTCATAAGCATGCCTGCTTGGGGGTTAGAATATCCTGGGTCCCTGTTGGGAAGGAAGGAAAGAAAGAGGATCATCTATTTGGCCCGTTTTTGTGTGTCGATTAGGAAGTCCGTACCACCAAACGTAGATAGGATAAAAAAGCTTGACCAAGATGATATCGTGCTGATGGAACAGACCTTGAAGATTACTTCAGAAACCTCTGTCTAATATGGACTGTCGACTTGTCGGAACACCCCTCGTCCTGGAGGCAGACCTGACAGCCCACAAAGTCAAAAAATTTCGAGCTCCCCAGCGAGTTTCCAAGCAGATCTTCGGAACCTTACAGACACCCAACAGACAAGACAGCCACAGCCTCATGTCTCGAACTTGTTGCATGTTTCTGCGAGTGCGAGTCTTGAAAGTTGGAACCTCTTTGAGGTCACTCACGTGCATGGAATTCGCGCTCTCACGAGCTCGGCACGCAGACTCGCAACTCTAGCCAGCCGACGCAAATCTGACGGCAGAGTTTGCCTGAGCAGTGCCCAGTGTCCACCTACTTCTGTGCGCAAAGCAATGGCATTCAAAACCGTGGCACCTTGTCTCCCGGAGTGCCGGGGGACGCTTCCTCCTCTCTCGGCTTGCGCATTCGGGCCTCCGCAGGCCACTTGGGAATCTGTAGCCTTGCTCTTGGTCGCTTGATCTGGTCGTGGCTCATGGTATCTGCTATTGAAAATCCCAAATCTCCCCTCGTTCCCGCGCCCAAGCTCCAAGGTTAGGTCAGGAGCCGCAGTGTCTCAGGGCCTAGTCCAGGCCATGTCCTCCTCTTCGTAATCCCCGTGACTGCCCACCACCACCACTGCTGTACCAACACCAGCACCGCTCTCATTCTTTAACTAGTGACTAGTGAAGAAAGCAGCTAGCGGGAAAAACGAGAACAGCAACTGCCAGTAGCATGTTTTTCTGATGTTGGAAGTATTCTCCCCCCCCCCTCCCCCCACGAGCTGCAAACGTACCAGCTGTGTGGGTGCACTCTTCAGCCGAAGCCTCTCACTCGCATGCACTGGAGAATTCCCCAGGGTTCACCAGAATTCCAGTGAACGCATCCGCAAGTATTTCACTCGAGCGCTGCCAGCACACGGGGTTTGGTTTGTGCTCGCCTCTCTGTGTCTTTGTGTAGTTTTGGTTGCAGCCTTCTCCAGGATGTTGTTGAAGGATCGGCGCCGCACCGGCTCGCCATCTTCAGTGGTGCGGGGAACCTGGGCTGCGGGTTGAGGCCTGAAGCCCCGTAGCCCGGCAGACTCGCAGGGATTTGCACCCACCTGGCCTGTAGAGATGTCGTCGCCGAAACTCTTCGCGATGGCCGCGGCGCGTCATCATCTGAAGAAGTGGCACCTAGCACATTACAGGGCACATCTTCTTTGCGGTTGCCACCACGCAAACGTTGCAATGCATCCAGCAGGCTGTGCTGTCGTCCGAATATGCTTGGACGATGTCCAGTCCTTGCCTTCAGGGAAGTTTCCGTGCCAAGCTATACCACAAACTTCTGCATCCATACACAAAATCCACGACGCCTCAGCCATCATGCGGTTGAAGCCCTGCCGTGAGGCTCCTCCTGCCATGGTAACACAAGCTTCCACTTGGCAATGCTATGTGTTCCAGGGACGAGCCTGAAACTTCAGGCGACACAGGCGACTCTGAGGGTAGTGGGGAAGGAGTAGCGAGCGGAGTGCCTCCAACCAGGTTTAGCAGCATAAGATCATCCCATGCCTAAGGGACTTTTGGGCGCTCGCCAAGACTCACCGAAGGTCGCCGGGCCCCGACGTTCACGGGTGCTGCACCTGCGCGTCGCGTCTCTCGCCAGAGGCACGCTCTGCGCTCTGCAATCGCCCCAAGCCTTGCGCCTGCAAGTTCTCCGAGAGCTGCGCAGCCTCTGCAGAGACAGCTGTCGAATCCACCAGAAGCCCACATTTTGAGGCTTCGGCCATCTTGTCCTTGCGAATGGACATCAGGAACTTTGAGGCACTCCTGCCCACTACTTCCGCATCGCCACTTTCAGTGACGAGACCTGCGTTTTCTGCCTCGGCAGAGAAAAATCCAAAAAAGACGGACCAGCAATGGAACAGAGTGGCCGGTGGCCTCTTTGGCAAGCTCGGCAGCCTTCGCAGCCCTGTGTTACGGAAGGTTCGTAAAGGAAGGAAGACTCTCGCATGGAGCAGCCCACCTGAGGAAGGACAGAACCTTGGAGGAAAGACTGGAAACTGCAGACTTCAGCTGCCAAGTCTGTCTAAGCTCACCACATGGGCAAAGCGCTTGGCCACTTCTCTCTGTCTCTCCTCTACAGCTGCGACAAACAAAGCGTTGTAAGGCCCTCTCTTTCATAAACGAACTGCACTTCCTCCTCAACTGCAGCACTAGTGCTGCCTCGCTTGTTCGATCCCTGCATCTCTTGCCATGTCCTGCACTGTGCTGGCTCATTGTGGCTGTCGCTAGGACCCAGCCCTCGGCCTCCTCATTGCATTCACCTGACACCCGGACCGAACCGAACGCAGCCGCGAGCGCAGAGTCTCCGCGTTTCATGCTTCGGTGCTGTCCGTGGAGTCCAGTGCCAGCACTCTTCGTAGAACTACAAGCTTCCCACATCCCCCGTGACAACTGGCATGCCTCTTCCCCCGACTGGATGCAGAACATCCCGTCTTGGTCTTGCTCGCGAACACTACAGCAGAAGGAAGGCACGCTCACAGTTTGTGTGAAATCGGTCCGCATGTTTGCGAATGTGGCTGGTCTGCGCTCACGAGGCACGCCGCCGCAACGAGACGCATTGAAGCTGCAAGCTGTCAGCTGTTCAATCCGCTTCTTTGCGAAACGGACAGCCTGCGAAGTCTTCTTCTTTATTTCAGCCTTGAGCTCCTGCAGTGCAAGTCGGACTTAGTTGAGCAAGAACTTGTGTAGCGTATCCCTGCTACTAAACTTCCTAAATACCTCTGCATAGTGCACTGCCACAAGCTGCGAGCCTTCACCTCGCTAGTGTCAGCCTCTTTCTTTTCTTGCTGGACATCCTGAGTTCCCCGAAAGCCGCTGCAAGCGAGCGATGTCGTTCTGGAGTACTATTCTCAACAAACAAACTACAGCATGCGTCCTTCTTCAATGCCGCGACCACATTTCCTGAGTCCATGCTCTTTACCCGTCGAATCTTGTCTTCGATAGATGCCAGCTCCTGCAGAAGTACACAGGTCGCTCGGATGTCAGCTTACGCAAACAAGTCTTGTCCTTTTCGAAGGCTTCCTTCTCTTCAGCAAGTTTCTGACAGCCCGCTATGAGGTCCTCGAGCATGACATGCCCTTGCAAACTATATATGCAGCGATTACATGGCGCAGTCATGGCACGACCAGTCTGAGCCGGGCGCTTTCAGCTTCAGCGCGTTCTCCTGGCGCTGCTCCTGCCCCATTTCAGGGGCTCGCGGCACAGGGTGCTCCCAAGAGACTGGAGATGGCTGGAGCCTCGCTGAGGGAGGGCTCTTCAACGGGCTTGTCAACGGGCCTGGCACCTCAGTACACCGTGGACTGGGCTTGCCCCAGGCTGCAGAAGGTCGGTTGAGATGCCGACTCGAACGGCGCCCCGCCGACTCAGCAAGATCATTGAAGACACGCACAGTCTTTTCGAAGAAACTCTCTCCAATCAGTTTGGTGCTGTCGAGCATTCTGCAGCAAACAACCACAAACGTTTTTCCTTTCTTGCTTTCTCCGATACGGGAGCGCTAGGCAGATCCTCTCTGTGCAATCCAAGCACAGCAGACTTTCTCGAGGAAGCTCTTCTGGATCTCGACCTGGTGCCTCGGACGGAGGCACAGTCCAAGCCATGCGAAGCCGGCTAACGGCAAAGCCATTGCAACAGAAGCCTAGCGACTCGCGGCGCTTGGCGAAGCATCTCCGGCACTCTCCGCTGATGGCTCGGAGACGTGAACGCGAGAATTCCTGCGACTCTGCACCACGGCGGCTCCTCTTTGCACTCTCTCCGCTCTCTCCACCGACGAGTGCAGAAGAGTTGAGTCGGAATGTTCCTGCGTGCTCGGGTGGGACTCAAGGAGCCGGTGCCTCTGAGAGGGCACAAAAAACTCTCAAGAGAACTTCCAAAAGAGGCTCTGCGGCTCTGCGAGGCTCTCTGCGAGTCCCGCTTTTCCCGCCTGAAGGTTCTGGCGGAAGTGAATTCCTGAGCGACAGCTGCTTTCTGAAACTGCAAAAAGCGCAGCCGTCTGAGGGAAACTCGCGAGAAAAGGCTGTGCCACTCTACGGGGATATTCCGCCAAAGAGCTTCAGATCCTGCAGCTGCTGGCGAAGGGCCTGCGTGAGGTGTCAGTGGGCCATCTGCACAGCTCAGGCTCTTCGCAAACGTTGCTGCATTGAGCTGGAGCCTCTAACTCTTTCTCGGCTGTCAGGTTGTCCTGTGGGCTCGACTACAATCAGTGGAGCCACATGGAGCCACGACATCAGAGATGCAGATGGATCAAGCCTCCAGCCCCCGGGAAAAATGAAACAGTCCATGATATATGATGTGCTGCGCACTGTCAAACTAAGAGGTAACTGCGCCCCCTCCGAACGTCTCTTCACCTAATGCCTTTTGAACAAGGGCTCATAACACAAGGAGACACCATTTACGAGTAAAACCTGTACGACTCAAGGGCACGAGTACTTTCTGGGAATCCCCTCAAAGCCTTAAGGGGCTCGTTCTTGGCCGCTCCTTGAGCTGCTTCCTCAAGGCGTCGTCTGGCTGCGCGGCTTCCTCTCGGCTGATCCTCCGCCGCCGTTTCTTCAGCTCACTGGCACTGGAGAGAGGACTTTCACCTCGGAGGCGGGCACTAGGGCACCTGATGCCGCAGTGCGACGAGACAGCTCGGACAAAGGTGGCCCTGCTTGCCTGGAGGTCCCTCACCATCTTCCAGGAAGCCTTCAGGCTCTTCTCCGGCATCACCGCCAGCGTCGCCACCAGTCGGTGCGCCCTGCGCAGAGCACAAAAGACACGAAGTGCATCGAAAGATTCTGCATTCATTCTCAAAGGGGCTGCACGATTTCTTGCCCATCCGCACACACGATCTGATGGTGCACCATCGGCATTCCTGCGGTTTGTTTTTACCCTGTGCAATGTGACCACTTGCAAGTCCAAGCCAGCTAGACGGCAGGATAGTGTGGTATAGCTGCGCAGCGCATGCGATCTGGCAGCTTCGAGCCCCACAAAAACATAGTGGCTTGACACATCTGTAACTGGATTCCACGCCTTTCCAAACACGCTGCTTTTCCAAAGCAGGAGGGCGCTTGCATGAGCAATTGGATGTCTGCAACCACAGCGAGAGATGTGAAGGTTGTCAATTTAAGTGCTCACAATTGCTCTTTGACGCTATGTTTCACTTTTGGGTTTTCGGGAGCTAACCTGCATTTTGACTCATACAGTGTTGCCGCTCCATGACATCAAGAATGGACTGCATCCCGCGTGGAGGCTGTCGGAGCAGGATCTTTGGTTTTTACAACCAGGAAATGACTCCGACGGAGTCCGACGGAGCGCAGCTTCAGTTTGCAGATCCCGTCAAAGTTCCAGCTGCGCTCTGGAAGAGGAGCGCAAAATCTATTGCCATCAGGGCCCACGGACACCCACTCCATCGCGCGCCAGTTCAACCATGACTTGTTGGCTGCACAAGCACTGCATGTTTCCGGTGGGCCTGTGCCGAGTCCTGGGAAGGTGACACATCGGGCGCCTGGCCGCAAGCTTTCGGGATCTCATCGCTGCGACCCAACACTCTCTCCGCCTCGGTCGCACCAGTGCCGGATGGCCCCGTGGTGCCTGCAGCTGCGACCTTGGAGCTCTTGGCGGCCTGCGCTCTTCTCCTGTCCTTGGTGACGTGCAGGCATTTGCCGGAGTCTAGAAATGATCCATGACTCAAGTTTGTGCAGCCAAGAAGGGGCCTGCGCAGTGGCAGCTCTCAAGCGCTTCAGCTGCACCTTCATGGCTTTCTCCTGCATACACTCGACTGCCAACGGAATTTTTGCGCTTCTGCATTCTCGCCTCCTCGGACAGACGGGCGGCTTTGGTCTGCTGCCTCAGCTCGGTAGGCTCTGAACTCCGGGGACTCATCGTCACACAGAAATCTCAGCCCGACTTCAAGATCCACACATCGTTAGGACTCCAACACCTTCAGCTGCTCGTCCAATTCGGGATTGTTGCGTGCCTGTCGTCCAATTCGAGCCGTCAGTGTCGAACTCAGATGTTCAATTTCACCTGCATTCCCCCACGAATTGTCTTTGAAACTTTAGTTTGAAAGATTCAACGCGACGAACCGATTTTCGTGCGAAAACTGCAGTTCTGGACGATGCGAGCGCCGTGTAGCAGCATGCTTGTACTTTGGATGGCGACGACAACCAATTCGGAGTCAGATGAGCACGAGTGGCCCATGCGCCTGGCCGTCAAAAGGTGCCCTCCATCCGGCTTTTGCTCTCGACCAACAACTAGCAATGCAACAGTAGCCCTGTTCGGGAACCAAGCCTGGGAAACGGACTGAACAAAGAACCGGCCTCGGATGCATTCGCCGGCGTGCCGGCCTCGCCTGCTTTGCTGATGTGGTCACAATTGCATACCATAGCGACTGCGACGCTGTCTACAAGGCCCTGCGCACTGGCGATTCGTAGTCTATCTCCGGAAGTCATGTCCCAGCCAAGCTTAGACCAGGTTCAGACCAGTTTGGGCCCTGACCTACCCGCTGCTTGCGCTAGTGCGTTTACAACTCTCACCATCAAGCATGGCATTAGTATATGTGGCATCATGCCCTGTCCTCCGTTTGCAAAGTCTCGCCTTGGTGCTTCTCTTTCTCGGCAAACCAATGAATACAAAGATGCACATACCATGAAAAAGTCCAGTCCAAGAATCGACTTGCTTTTGCCTCTTTCGCTCGTCAAGACACCCTGGGGCTAAACAGTGTCATGCTAACAGTTTCGCACAAATCAGAGCCGCCACGACATGTTGATCGAACTAGGCGAACTATCGGAACTCTCCCTACCTTCTTCTGCTTGATGATCTCGACCGTGTCTTCAGCTGTGGACAAGAGTCGACGGTACACCTGACAGCATGGACAGCATACGAGTATGACAGCACGGCATGCGCCGTGGCCAGGTTGTCTTCCAGGCTATCCAATCTCGCTGGTGCCAATGCTTGTCGCCAACAGACACAGAAGCAAATAAATGAACAGCATAGTAACCTTGTCTCCTTTAGCAAAAACCAAGAGGAATCCTGGTTGCACCTCCTCAAGGCTTGGCTTTGCATCTTGTGCCTCTTTGTCCTGCTTACTGCGAAGTCGCATGCGGCGAGGCCCAAGCACGATCGCAGCCGTCCTCTCCACCTTCATCCTGTGTTTCGCCTTCATCCGTATGTTCTTCGCTGCCCAGTGGCTCCTGCAGCCAGAGGCTTGGGCATCGAGAACGATGCAGGAAGGAAGACCTTCTATCTCCCCTCCTGCTCTGCATGGGTTCTCGTCGGCAGAATGGGCTGTTCCAGCACGCTCTGTAGAATTGCAATTTCTTCCTGCAGAGTGCAGGTGACAAAGATGCGCGTTTGACTGAGAGTTGCCCAAGCATCGGTCCCTCAAAGAAGTGCTCTCAGCTTCGATTTCCTGGGCTGGCTCTTGCTTTCACCTCCTCAGCGCATGACAGACCCTCTGACCTTGAACTTCAGCCGTCTCTGCTCCGGGTCGTTGCTGACAACAATCTCCTCAACTTGCTGGAAGCTTTCCTCGGTTTCTGGCAGCAGTTGCACCAGAACGCACTAACAACAGTTGCAGAGAGGAGTCCGAGCCGGAAAGCTTTTGGTCCCCTTCCTTTCAAGCAGCGGATTCTTCTCGCATGAGAAGACAAAGCACAAGAAACCAAACCTGATGGAACCAGTTGTGCTTCCTGTCCTTGCGCGTGTCCTCCAGCTTGAGCATTCCATTCCTGACCTTCTTCTTTCCTGGCATCTGGACATTAAGCGGGTACGGGGTTGCTGGCACAGGGTGCTCTAACTCCAACATAACGGGGTAGCATGACCACCAGGACGGCTGAAGGTGCCTCAAAATGGCCCAAAAAAGTGAGGCGCAAGTGACTGCAGTGCAGGAAGCGGCAAGAGGCCGAGAGGCCGAGGGTTCGGCTGTAGGCCAAGGAGACGCTCTCAGCGAGCGCCTCGTCTTCCAGCATAAGCTGTGCCAGAACGGCCTGCATCTGGCTCACCACCGCCTCGGCTGTGAAATCTGGCAGTCTCGCTTTAGTCGCTTTTTGTCTCGCTCCCAAACAACTCTTGGCCTCGCTGACCAGAAGGTAAGCAGGATCCTTCACAGTTACAAGGGAAAATGGTGTTTTGAGAGACCGGCAAACACTGAGGTGCCAACGTCAGCCGGGGGGATCCGAATCTTCTTGCTCTTGAACTCAGCATTTCCCAGAATTGCGCCGGAAAGCAGAGCTGTCTCGCCAGTCGCGGCCAGGTGGCACCTGCACTCATGAAGAACGTCTTGGCCTTTTCGACCGCATCTTCCAGGGACTGCACAGGCGAAGGCATGCTCAGTGTGCACATCACCGAGAGGGGGTTGGTTTGAAGACAAGAAAGCCTCCAGCCTTTGGCTGCCCAGGGCCTGAGGCTGAGGGGTCTTTCAAAGGCACAGACAGTTGCACAAGTCTCTCTTAGTGGGCGGCAAGCTTCCCGGAGAGAACTTGCGCCTCCTCCTGCTGAGATGAAATGATCGAGAGAACCTGAACATCCAAAACAGGCGCGCTCATGGGTCCAAAAAGCTTATCAGGGCACTCCCAGCCTCTGCCGCTTTGTTCCCGGTTGAGTTGCGCCGGGTCTTTGCAGGCATCGTTTGCTTCATTAGCTCCATCCTCTGAATCTCCCCTTTGATCTGCTCAACATTGTCCTGCAACATCGGTGGTCAGTTTGCCAGTACAACCACTGACCGATGACCACATGAGCGCACATGAGCATGACGCGAAATGGGCAAGTCTTGACAGGAGTTGCAATTCGCAACCTACCGCACAGCGACAGCAACAAGATCCCGCGTCCCTGAGGTCGGCAATCTGGTCATCAATGTCATGAAACCTGGATTCCAAGGATACACGCGAGCGCTGGAGTAAACAGCCGGTCGACGCAAAGGCCCCCGCTTCTTCGCAGCTCTTTCCGCCTGGCGCCTTCCAGGAAAGTCACAAGCTTCGTCCGACTTCCCTTGGAACTTCTTGCACGACACCGCCGCCCTTCGACTTTGGATCTGGGATAGTTTCACTCGTGGAAAACTTTGTTTGGGAGGAACTGCCTTAGTTGAAGGTCGCTGTCCCGTGATACCTGTTGTGCAAGATGGAATGTCCGCGCATCAGCGTATGCCCTGGCCTTTCTGGTTTTTGGAAGACATAGTTTGATCGCTTCTTCCCGTGACTCATCGCATAGTTCCGACTTCCGACTGAATTTAGTTAAGAGCAGCTGTGATCATCTCTGCTCACGTGTGATCGGCAGGCATTGCACCCGAAGGAGCCAGCTCTGTAATCTCTAGGCCTCAGTTTGCAAAATCTGCGCGTTTGGTTCACTGGACCTACAGTCCACAGCAGTTTTCAATGAAAGGTCACATGCACAGGGTCACGGCAATCCAGTGACATAATGTCGCCTGAGCCTCTCCTGGTGCTTCTCTTCTTCTTCCTGCTGCACCTGGGCACTCAGCATGGAGTTGACATTTATCCACTTCGCACAACCAAGTGCAGCATGGCTGCTCTGGCAAGAAGTTCTTCTGCGCTCTTCCTCTTCGATTCCCAATGCTCGTCCAGGCGTTGCGCAAACTTCTGCTGGAAGCCTCTGCAGTTCGTGACCAACCGCATGCGCACCTTCCCTAATAAAGTCTTCTCCGCTGAGGTCTTGTTCAAAAGCAGTTTTTGCTACTTCGACCAAGTCGCAGCTTATCGTGGAGAAGAGAGCCATGTCCTGCCGATGTCTCGAAGATGTTCCAGATTCTAAAGTTGCTTTCCAGACTGGACAGCCCGTATAAACGATCACCAGTGAGAGATCGTCTTATCTTCACTGATGATGTGGTGATTTCTCATGACATCTTGGAACCGAACAGACCGAAAGACCCCTCAGCAGGGCACGCAAAAAATGTATTCTTGCCACTTTTGTATGTTTAAAAAATTGTTTTTCCTTCGAATCCCTTACGTTTATTTTCCGGTCCGCCGGCACGGGATCCGTGTTGCTAAAGTGCTTGTCTTTTCGCTGTGGGTGAGCAATTGTGCTTCTTTCTGCAACCGGTGGGCAGCCCCATGTGCTGCGAGTACCACGTTTTCCTGTTCCGACATGCTATTCATCAATGGCCACAGCAGACGACGGCATATGCATCGTGATGCAACGTGTCCTAGGGACATGCAGGCCCCTGCCGCCCAAGGATCACCTACGAACTGCACTTACGAGTGACGAGTGGACAACACAACATCCATAGACCTCGTGTGTACAGTTCACTGCATCACAGGAAAAGTTTCGCAGTGTCCTTCTGTTCGATGCCACTCTTCACCCCCTTGACCCCTTCCTGAGAGTGCACTGCTTCTGCATTGATTTCCTCCCTCATCTCAACTCAAGACCAGCGGCAGACTGGGCAGCCATGGTCCTTGTGGCTGCGGAGATCAACGTCGGGTCCAGTCTCAAAGCGAACTGCGACTGCCAAGAGGCTCCAAGGATTCTGCTTCGGTGCTGTCCAGCTCTGCAACCTGAACGCAGGACGCAGGATGAGCCATGCGAACGTGCTTTCACAATGCAGCCGACGTGCATCACGCTCTCCCTGTTGCATCCTTTGCTGAAACCAATTGTTCCTCAGTGCCCGCAGAAAGCCGATGCTGTTTTTTTTCGTCGGCAGCATGTTTTACGGGAACTGATTAGCCGGCAAGTTGCAGCTGCTCAGTCAGCTTCACCCGGGCGAACTCCTTCCACTCGTACATGATTCCTGGTGCTGGGATGCATCAAGCCGGCTCGAGTACATGTGCGCAAGTCGCCACCAAGACTTTTTGGAGGAACCAATGTGTTGGGCGCCACAATAGCAGCACCACCATGACCGGCCATGACAACGAGGACTTCTACTGCTGTACTGCTACTCCTCCTTCTACGACTGGCGACACCATGTCCAAAGGTCGACCACGACAACGACGACGGAGAAAAGCGAGTGGCAAGCATGACGACTGCTAACGCTAATGCTGATGCTAATGCTAATGCAAATGCTGCTAAAGCTAATGGCGCTGGCAATGCTGATGCTGCTGCTAAAGCTAATGCTGCTGTTAATGTTAATGCTAATGCTGCTGCTAATGCTAGTGCTGCTGCTGCTGCTGCTGCTGCCGCCGCCGCTGCTGCTGCTGCTGCTAATGCTAATGCTAATGCTAATGCCGCTAATGCTCATGCTCATGCTCATGCTGATGCTCATGCTAATGCTAGTGCCAATGTTAAATCTGATGCTGCTGCTGTTGCTGCTCCCCCTCCTGCTGCTACAACTACAACAACTGCTGCTGAACTACTACTACCACCACCACCACCACCACTACGACTACGGCGACGACGACGACGACGACGACCTTCCGCGACTACGACCACGACCATGCTACAACCACGACCACAACCAACGAGGATTTAGTGTTCCCTTTGAGTCAAAAGCTCCGGCCAGGCTTGCGGAGGCCTTGCTCTGAGATTGTGCTGTGGCACAGACTACGCAACAACTACATTTGCGCAATCAGCTCGCCGGTATTTTTGGAGTGTTTCGGCCGAAATGCCAGCTGTGAAAAACCCGTAAACCCGGGCGCCAAAACTCATAACCCCAAAAGGAGTGAGCGCTGCAAAAAAAAGTGGAGGCTACAGGGATTCGCGAAATCCTTAACTCTACATGCGGACACTGGTTGCCGCAAACCCGGAAAACCCAAAAATCCCTGAATGGAGTGTGAGTGGTTGCACAATCCCAAACCTAAATGCAGTACCTGGTTCCCAAACACCCAGAACCAGCGAAACCCGACAACGCATGACCCGTTGGCAAGCATCCAACACCCTGCAGGAGTGAGGATGACGATGATGATACGATGACGATGACCCTGACCATGACCATGATGGTGATGATGACGACGACAATGACGATGATGAGATGATGAGGAGGAAACATGACGGTGATGAACAAGACGATTATGAGTTGCGAGAGGAGCCCAGAAGGTGAGGGTAAACATGGTCTTCCAGTTGGCAACGGGCGCATAGGGCGCCACGTTAAATCATGCGTTCTTACTGTTTTGGCAGGATATTCCCACGGTTTCTGCTGCTGTCTTGGACTGGGGGTGGGGAGGGGGGGGGCTGGCTTAATAGCGTCCGGCCATCGCATATCCTCTCGAGTGCGCATTTGCGAGCCGGGATGGCGCTCTCCTGGCTTGCACTGACGCTCTCAGCCGTCATCATCCTTCGGCTGTCGTCAGTGTCGTTGCCGACAGAGCCGGGTGGCTTCGCATCATTTCCTGTAGAGGAGCTGGAGTCCTTGTGAGGTTGAAGAAGGTTATGATATGTTGACCACGAGTACGATGATGATGATGATGCTGATGATGATGATGATAATGATGATAATAATGCTCATGACGGTGATGATGGTGATAATGATGATGTTGCTGATGATGATAATGGCAGTCATGATGAACATGAATAAGATTAAACTGATGCGGATGTTGATGATAAAGACGATGATAATGCTGATGCTGCTGCTGATATTGCCAGTCGTAAAATGCAGTGGTTTCCGTGACGTGCTACAAACCTGATTTTTGCAGAAAATCGTGCTGACACCACAGTTTCGCGCACTTTCTAGACACGAATGTAACGTGGCGCCGGGCGCGACCTAGCTGGCTTTCCTCTGCTACTGCTGCTGCTGCTGCTACTACTACTACTACTACTACTGCTGCTGCTACCGCAGCTGCAACGGCAAGTGCAATTGCTACTGCTACTGCGGCTGCAGATGCTACTGCGACTGCGACTAAGACTAACACGAAACCTATAAGACTAAAACAAAGACGTACAAAGACGAAAACCAATATTGATATTTCTTCTGTAGCTGCCTGCTACTTCTACGTCCTCCTCGAATTCTGGTAGGACTAAGATGACACCAACTAATACTTTCACGGAACACAAAAGGGTCAAAAGCTGAAAAGCTGTTGCAAAAGAGGCTCGGTTAGTCGCGGCTCTGCCTGCATTGACCTGTCGAAGTGAAAGGCCCAGAGCTGCCCAACTCTTGGAACTGCCTCTGGGATCCAGGCTTGCTGCTCGATTTTGCTGTGGTCCGTCTCTTGCACGATATCATCAATGTCCTGAGGCCACTGAGGCCACGTCATAGGCGCAAGTGTATCATGCCATCCCCTGGCGACATGCTGCCAAGGATCGTGGTAGTTTATATTCAAGAAGCCGTCGACACTGTCATCGTCGCTTGGATCTGCGCAGGATGTTTTACAAGATTTTCAGCCACGGAGCATTGAGCACCTCACCTTCTGGGGCAGACCCTTGTTCACTGTTCGAGTCCTCGCACACGTTGCGGAGGACATCAAGCTACAATACGCTACATCTGGTTGTTAAATCGTCCGAATCGCCATCATCCTGGCTCACAGCACGACGACGCGACAAGACCGGTCCTCGTCTTCAGACACCTCGCCTGTCATCCAACCAGGCATGCCAGCCTGCGATGCCACAGCCGACGACTGAAGCGAACACAATGTCTGCACATGCAAAAGCTGACTTGCTACAAAAGCCAGAATATGGCCGAGAAGCCAGCTTTTTCTTGAACTTGACTGGATCTGCAGCCTCCTGTGGCACCTCCTGCTTTTCGGCCTCCTGGACCTGTGGTTCTCGAAAGCTTCTCAGCAAAGCTACCTTAAGCACAGCAGCCAGCATCCTTGACATCCTTCGGCGAGGTTGGCGGTGGGCTGCCTGAGAATGGAATGGAATGGAATGGGAACTCCTCCACTTCGCTTCCCCGTCAGACTCAGGCTGCTGGAATCTGAATCTGCACTGCTTGAATCCACGGCCACCTGCGAAAACAGGTGGAGGGCACGTCGGAACACGCAGGACCGGAGAGGCCTCGTCACTTTCACCAGGTCGAAATATGCGACCGGCGAGGAGATCTTCGATGCCTTCTTGCAGTCCATGGGTTATTGCCAGGATCTGCGCCTGTCGATCCCAGATGCACGGTGCATGCTCGCAGAAGGCCGTAGAAAGTGTGTCGCAGGCCTGCTCCTTGGTGCGTCCCTTCACGGTGGCAGACTGAAGGTCTAGCTCGCTCCTGACCAGGATCGAAATACGAGTAACAGCGTGCCGCTGCGACAAGTCGAGTCCTTCTGCGATCAACTTCCAATCCGCGAAACTTGATGTCCAGGAGGTCCTGACCACGTGCTGACCCTGCTGACCTCTCTGCAACCGCAGCCCCGACGGCGGTCCGTGGCATGTTCCGCGTCCGTTGCAGACTCGAGCACCGAAATCCCAAGGGCCGGGAAACCCTGCCGGCGCTGACGCCGGAATCGGTTCTCCTCACACGACACCAGATCGGCAGAAGCTCAAGGCACACCCTTGGAAGCCGAGCAGCGTTGCCGGATCTGACGGAGTTTGCGGCAGAGTTGATAATGTTACCCGGAGGGGTCATGCCGGTCCTTCACTCCTGCACTGCATATAAGCAGCACAGTTCCAGCTTCAATTGAGAGGGCACCAGCAAAGCACGGCCAGAAGACCTCGACTACCGACGTCACGGTAGCCGCTTCATGGTTCAGCAAACACCAGGACTCAAGCCGCCAGCCATGCTGCAGTCCTAAGCTTCGGTGAATGTTGATGCCAAGCAACGGACTTCGCGACTATAGCAGCCAAGAAGCTTTGCAGCAAGGGGCTGGGCCGGAAGCTTGAAACGAAAATCAACATCAGAGCAAACATATGCCAACGTACAACATCACATGCTTGACGACCCCTGGGCGATCTTTGGTCGGCGACAGCAAAGGTCTTAGTTGCAAGGGTAGCGACTCTGGCCCAGGACACGGGGTCCGCGAGGAGGGAAAGGAACCGATGCCCAGATCGCTCTGAGGACTCCGTTCTCGGCATCGTCGTGGTCTTCTCTCCGTGGCTCGGCACTTCTGCGGCACGCGCTTACTCGCTGTATCCTTTCAGGTGCTTCTTGCGCAGCTTCTCACGATTCACCTCCGGCAGGTCCAAGGCTTCGGCTCTACTTTGTGAGCCGAGCAGGAGCCTCAAGCAAGGCTTCGCCGTCGACGTTGCCGCCTTCGTTTTGGGCCCGAGTCCGAGTCCGAGTGGCCACTCGGCTGGGCCACCGAAGATGGAAATCAGCCAAGCCCGAAGGACCTGGTAGGCGAGGATCCGGCTGCTGTCAAACATATGGCCACACGCTCGGATCATGATGACTGCAAGCTCGGAGGTCGTAGCTGCCGTTTCCTGCTGCCTCTCGGCCAGGCTCGAAAAGTGTGCTGTGACGGCCGGATCTACGTTGCGGTCTGCGAGCCCATGCAACCAGAGGACAGGCAGGTTTCGATGCACTGCGGCCCTAATGCCTGCTTCTGTGTCCAAGCCCGCATGCTCAAAGCGCTCACCGCCACGAGCGGATGATGCAAGGGCAATCATGCCATGCACCTCACAGCGTTGAGCTGCAGCCCACACCGCAGGGCCACCAAATGAGAAGCCGATGAGTATGACTGGCACTTCACCATAACGCTCTCTCATGAAGGACACAGCTGCCACGACGTCCTCGGCAGCGATGCGCAAAGAGCTGAGGTGCTTCAACTTGCGCTTCGGCCAGGCTGCGCCACTCACGCAATGACGCCAAGAGATTTGAAGGCCGGCACAGACAGGGAACTGAGGGCCCTGAGGAGCCATTACGTCACCATCGAAGCTTAGGTCTAGGCTGTTGGCAAAGCTTGCACCAAGCCGTGCGTAAATAGAATTTCGTGCGGCTCTGGACGTTCGCTTACTCAAGGGCAGCCCTCGGTCAGCTGCATCGATTCCCGGCCCCATCCCTCCATTGCTGCCTGGTGCCATGATCAGGATGCAGTCAGGCCGCCTTATCGGGGTGTAAAGGATGCCGGGCACTGCTCCCGAAAACAGGGGAATCTGCACATCCGTGCCGTGCTGCCAGATGCAGCCACTACTACGGCTCGCAGTATAAGCTGATGCCGGTCGCCGCCCAGCCATCAGGAACCGGAACCGGCCAAAGCCTACATCGACACTTGCAGCATGCCCTTGAGACGCAAAGCCTCAAAATACCCAAGAAACCAGGAAACTTCGATCTCACAAAAACCCAAGTCAAGATTTCAATGGTGACCAGATCCACATCTTTCTACGGCACAAGGCCAAACAGCCGCACGAAACTGCGCAGCTTTCACGAAGACGAAACGAAGCATAAGAGCACATTTCCAATGTTCTCCCGTGGTTGTTAAACCTTCGATTTTACAATGACATCTTCGGAAATCCAGTAACCCATACTGATGTTGGCCGCGAATCTTGCAAACATGCGTCGGATAATCCAGTATTGTAACCTTCTGCGTTGCAGGAATGTGTTGCAAAAACCATTAGCCCTAAAAACCCGTTACATGGCAAACCCAAAACCTTCCGACGACGTGCAGGGACATCGATACAGTAAACCCGAAAGCCCGTTGGTGTCAACACGTTATCGGGATTTGTTGGAGAATCCACTAACCCCAAGGACCCGTTGCAGAGCAAACTTAAACAGTTGCAAGGATGTGCTGGAACCTAAGCATTTGCAAGGACGTGCTGGCAAATCCTTTAACCCGAAAGCACCGTTGGCTGGCCCGCCTAATCCCTTGCAAAGATTTGTTGGGCCAGGGACTCCACTAACCCTCCACGGCAAAGCGTCGGCTTGCAAACCCACAAACCCTTGCAAAGATTTGGTGGGAACCACAACCCTGGACCGGAAATGCACAACCTCTTCCAAACACCGTCTTGGGACATCCAATCAGAAAAAAAGCGTTGCGATGTCTTCGGAAATCCATCAAGCCCAGCTGCGTGGCAAACCAATGGTTGTTGCAAAGGGTTGTCTGAAAATCCATTATCGTCACAAAACACTTGGCTAACGAATTCAAAAACCTTGCAAGGATGTGTTCGGCTGTCCATGAACCCTACAACTCGCTAGGAAACCTTTGCCAAAAAGTGTGAATCCTTAAAGCATGAAGGCACAAAACTTAGCAATCCAAGACATTCAGGCATCCATACGCAAATCTCCCACAAGTAGCAGCGAAGCTTCTTGTGGTTTACACGCTTGTTCGTGCTAATTGCAGCGCATGTCCAAGAGCGACTGGAGCTCCTGCAGCCTCGCTTTGGATTCTGCACATCGCAACTGCTCGATGCGCCAGGGCAGAATGAGCGCAAACAGCGGATACTCACTCGCCGGGTTCAAGTTGGTGCGGAAAAGAAGCTCCGCCTCTTCAATGGCCTTTGCCCTTCGATACGGAGGGTCATGCATAAGCCGCTTCAGTACCATAATCCACTGCTGGTCCAGGAGCCTGCTGCAGTCTACGACATCCCAGACAAGCTCGTCCAGCTTCTTCTTCTGCTGCACCCGCAACATGTTCCCAAGCGCGAAGAACTTCTGTGTCAAGTCTTCTCGTAGGAGCTTGCAACCAAAGCATGCAAGCTGAGACAACACCCAGTGTGAGGCTGTCCATAGGTGGTGGTCGTCGCTGAGGCTCTCTCGCGATGCCGCTTCGACCAGATCAGCAATCCGGTCCGAAACCTTGGTTGCTTCACGACTCGTTTCCCGACAAGAAGCCGCAATGTCAAACGTCAAGACTTCCGCTCTTCATCGGGTAGACCCGTAGCCGTAGGCATCTCAGCTGCATCCCTGAATCATTAGCCCTTAAACCTTAACCCCAAATCCGAAACCTGACACCCAAAAACCTTGAACCACAGAGCCTAAAGCTCTGAACCCCTGATGCCCTCAACCCCCAGCATCTCGTCCAGAAGCCAGCTCATACCATCTCGGATGGGCGGCTAAGCTCCTCAGACCTTGGCAAGGCGCCATACAAACAGAACAGTTGGCTACAAAGTACGCCGACGCCAATGTACTATAATGCTATATAATTAAAATCCTACAGGGCACTCTCTCTCTGTCTCTCTCTCTCTCTCTCTCTCTATCTATCTATCTATCTATCTATACACAAACACACAATCTCTACTATCACCTTCCATTGTTATACTATGGTTGGTAGGCTTCGACCTGCAGCTCCACCACTCTTCCCCGCCCAGCATCTCAGGAGGCTTCCGTAGTCCAGCGGGGGCATTTAAGTGAACAGAGTTGAACAAAGTAACCTGAAAGGATGAGGAGGGCACCATCCGGAGAGACTTGCAGGCCTGGAAAATGGGGTTTGGGCCAGAAGAGTGCGGGGTGACGCGGAGTGGTAACTGGCGAAGGGGAAAGACGAGAACTGCAGCCGCGAGCGAGAAAATAGGAGAAATAAAAATAAACGGACAAGGCCGGAGGCCATAAGTTCCAGGCAGCGCAGAGGCGAGGGCCGCTCTTATTCTCTGCACGGAGTGTTCGCGAGGCTAAGATGAGCTGCGGTTACCGCCGCTCTTCCCCGCCCAGCTTGGTGAGTGGGGTCTGGAACGACATGAGGAGCCCTGCTTGGTGACGAAGTGGAAAGAAGCGGACCTGCGGTCTTACGATGGTCGTTAGACCTAAACAACCTAAGGAGAGGGGCACTGTCACCCCGACGCAGCTGTCGAACCAAGCGTGGGTGCTCATCGGGCTTAAAACGAAGCCCTTAGTGCCGCCCCGGGGGTCCACACACCTTCTGGTACAGAAGGCTGCGACGGGCCCCGGGGATAACATACTATACTATACCATACCATAGCAAACTATAACCCACTGTAAGATACTGTACTAAACCATAATGAATTAAAGACTAGAATATACTACGGTGTACAATAAAATCCCCTAATATCCTGAAGAACAAACAAAATTATATAATGACCAATAATGGTCCTATAATTTCCTGTAACAACCTGTAGTTTACTATGATATCCTATTTCAGGGGAGTGGCTGCGCCATGACTTCCACACTGGTGCAGCGAAGCGGATCTTATTCGCGTGCCTTTGCCTCCTGCAAGGACGAAGCATAAATTAACAAGGACTGGAAAGGCAGCATCTGCAGAGGTTTGCTCATTTCAATACATGCTGCTTACACAGGCTTACATGCACACAAATCCCCGCCCTTCTCCGATTCCCCGCCTGATGCGGTCCGTTTCGCCGGGCTCCACCGCCATGCAGCTGCCCACCATCTCCAAATTTATCTTCGATGCCTCGAGCATGTGCTTCAACCAGACCTGTGCTCCGCACTCACTCCTTGCAGTAGTATATGATGTACCATAAGACAAGGTAAGATCAGGCAAGACGAGACAAGAGAAGACAAGACCAGAGAAAATAAGAACATGAGATAAGATAAAATAAGATAAGACAAACTCCTGTACTATACGATACAGTACTACAGTACAATACCAATACAATACACTGCAGAATACAATACTATATAGTCTACGACAAGAAATACCGGATTACGTGAGATAATACAAGATAATGTCATGTGGCAAAATATAACAGAATATAAACCAAAAAGTGAACTAGAACATG